GAGTGAGTGAGTGAGTGAGTGAGTGAGTGAGTGAGTGAGTGAGTGAGTGAGAGTGTCTGTGTGTGTGACTGACTGTGGGCTTTAGTGAGCGTGAGTGAGAGTGAGTGTGAGTGAGTGTGAGAGTGGGAGTGAGAGTGGGAAAGAGTGGGAGTGAGAGAGCGAGTGAGAGAGCGAGTGAGTGAGCGAGCGAGTGAGAGAGTGAGTGAGAGAGTGAGACAGTGAGAGTGTGAGAGAGAGAGAGCGAGAGCGAGAGGGAGAGGGAGTGTGAGTGTGAGCGTGAGCGTGTGTGAGTGAGAGTGAGGGAGAGCATCTGACAGCACGCCTCAGAAAGCACAGACTGCTGCGCCTGCCACGAATTCCTGCTTTCCAGGTTCACAACCACGAAATCTGCACTTCGAGGTTAAAGTGCTGTGTTTGCCACCAAATCTGCACTTCCAGGTTCACCCTGCCACTAAGTCTGTGCTTCAAGGTTCACAAAGCGCTGCGCTTGCCACGAAATCTGCACTTCGAGGTTCACATCGCGCAACCCTGCCAAGGTGTTTTGCCGCAAAAGCGCTGCCAAAGACAACGTCAGGATATCAAAACCAAAAGACGTCCTCCGCTTTCTGAAAACGACCCACATGTCCAAAAGTCACGATTCATAGCACCTGTCACTGTCACGAAGTTAGAGCGCATCGAAGATCACCACCATGTCCAAAGTGCTGCGCCTGCCACGGAATCAACATTCCGAAGTATAACTGCTCCGATCCCTTGCACCTGTCGCGAAAACTCGGCTTTGGACCACCAAAGCACGACTTTGCAAGAGATGATGCAATTGTCTCCTGTTTATTCGGAGACGGATGTGTCGGAGGATGAAGTTCAACAGGAGTGTGCCGGGGGAAAGGGCCTACCGTCTACCGTAGTCTGATAGTGGTCATGTTTGCAGCCGTCTAAAAGCTAAAATGATTTTGCTTGACAAGAGAACCAGCTTCTGCCAAGATTTGCAGGAGATTCAACAGATGCAAAAGTTTCCTGTTTATTCGGAGACGGATGTGTCGGAGGATGCAGTTCAACAGGAGTGTCTCCGTGCTGCGGGAAAAGGCCTACCGGCCTACCGTAGTCTGATAGCCGTAATTTCTGCAGCCTTCTAAAAGTAAAAAACACTCCTGGACTAGAGAAACGGTTTTTGCCAAGTTTTGCAGGAGATTCAGCAGATGCAATCGTCTCCTGTTTATTCGGAGACGGATGTGTCGGAGGATGAAGTACAACAGGAGTGTGCCGGGGGAAGGGCCTACCGTAGTGCAGCCTTCTAAAAGTTAAAAAGATATTAAAAAGAGTTTCCTAGAGAAGAGAAACAGTTTCTGCAAAGTTTTGCAGGAGATTCAGCAGATGCAAAAGTCTCCTGTTTATTTGGAGACGGATGTGTCGGAGGATGAAGTTCAACAGGAGTGTCTCCGTGCTGCGGGAAAAGTTCTACCGGCCTACCGTAGTTTGATAACGGTCAATTCTGCAGCCTTCTAAAAGTAATAAACATTCCTGAACTAGAGAAACTGTTTTGGCCAAGTCTTGCAGGAGATTCAGCAGATGCAATCGTCTCCTGTTTATTCGAAGACGGATGTGTCGGAGGATGAAGTTCAACAGGAGTGTGTCGGGGGAAAGGGCCTACCGTAGTGCAGCCTTCTAAAAGTTAAAAGGATTTTCCTAGACAAGAGAAACAGCTGCTGCCAAGATTTGCAGGAGATTCCACGGATGCAATCGACTCCTGTATCTTTGAAGACGCATATTTCGAAGAATGATGGTGAAGAGGAGCATATCCGTGCCGGGGTAAGGGTGATAGTAGAGTTTACATTCATCAAACATGTTCATTATAGTATATTATAGTATAGTATTGTATACACGCCATACTGTTGCAGTTCTAGGGGTATATGGTAGGGGTGTACCTCCAATCCTCGTGAAAGCGCTGGAACAGGGGAGTTGTTGAAGCGAAGCTATTAGCGGGGTATGCCCAGTGAAGGAGAGACAACCAGTGTCCGTTTAACTACTTCTATGTTTGCAGGAGCTAGTACAGAGATGTACGTCTTAGATGCATTTCAGCAGGCAACAAAGTCATATCACTCTGTCATGGCGCACTATGCCGCTACCTTTTCCCTTCCAAGGCAAAGTTAAGTCCAGCAAAGAAGCTATACAACCAATGACCGCGTATGAATACAACGCTCAGTGTGGGAACAAGGTAGTCTCATAACTTAAAAGTATAGCGGGAGCCTCGATAGCTCAAGCGCTCTCACATCTCATAGAGATGCTCGGCTGGAGAACTATAAATTCAGCACAGAAAGATACCATGAATCGGCCGTCTTCAGCCAATGCAACTTGCCTTTTGTCGTAGGAATACTTAAATTCCATAGAAAGGTGTTCTCCTTTGCGTATGCGGCCGGCAAAGCAACTGTACACGGACGAGCCTATGCACATATATACTTGCAGAATGAATCTACTTGTATATAATCATCTATCTTGACAGATAGCACATTAGAGGTATATAGACTCATTTCAAGCAGCTCTCCGGCTCTCCTAAAGTAAATCTTCATCGTCCTATACCTTGGCAGGTGGTACATCGCTGGAAGATTCACCTTGGCAAAAGTTCTTCAGTTTTGACAAACTGTACAATTCTTGCTAGCCAAGGATTTAAAGAGTTGAGCATGGAGAGGAAAGCATCTCATGTGACCGCGAGTACCCTTCAGAATCCAGTTCTCACTTTATTTCCTCAACCTTTGGAGCTACGTGCAGCTGCAGAAGCAGTTTGCCTTCCAGCTCTTCGTTTCTTTCTTCGACGCTGCTTTGTCGTGATTGGCCTGTTGAAGTAACATGCCTGTACGGCATTCATTCTTTGCAGCCGGCCATGTTGGGTCGATCTTGAGCCATGTTGGGCCTTTTTCCCCCTATGTTGGGACGATGTTGGATCATGTTGGGGCGGTGTTGGGCCGCCTTAGGTCATGTTGGAGAACAGCCTTTTATGGAAGGCACATGTACAAGACGCCGTCATTAAGGATGGTAGTGCTGGCAATAAGGTTGTTTTCGCGGACAGTAGTTCGTTTGCGCGGTTCTATTGTATGCGCACCCCTTTTTATCTCGCATGTTGGATACTACCTTGCTATTTGGGGTCTCAACTCCTTGACTTCCTTCCTAGGTAGGATTCATGACTCCTGTGCTGCTTAAACATCTTAAACTGTGTTGTAGCAGGTGTAGGTGTGGGACGGTCCAGAGTCTACTGCTATCGTAGGCTCCGTCGCCTTTCCGCAGATTGCCGAATTGGTTCGCAGGAGATTCAACAGATGCCATCGTCTCCTGGTGTTTCAGAGACGGATGTGCCGAAGGATCAAGTTGAACAAGAGTGTCATAGTGTGCTATTGAAGGTCGTTTTTGCAACCTTGTAAAAGTCAAAAGGAAGGACTTTCCTGCACAAGAGAAACGCTGCTGCCCTGTTTTGCAGGAGACTCCACAGATGCAATCGTCTCCTGTTTATTCACAGACGGATGTGTCGGAGAATGGAGTTGAACAGGAGTGTCTCCCTGCCGGGGGGTAGGGTCTACCATAGTTTGATAGCAAAGACTTTCCTGCACAAGAGAAACAACTTCTGCCAAGACTTGCAGGAGACTCAGCAGAGGCTGCCATCGTCTCCTGTTGTTTCGGGGATAGATGCCATCTTGGACGATGACGTTGAACAGGAGTGTCGCCGTGCTGGGGAAAAGGGCCTACCATAGATTGATAGTGGTCATTTCTGCAGTTTCCTAAATATCACAAAGACTTTCCTGCACAAGAGAAACAACTTCTGCCAAGACTTGCAGGAGACTCAACAGAGGCTGCCATCGTCTCTAGTTTCTTCGGGGATAGATGTCGTCTTGGATGATGATGTTGCACAGGAGTGTCTCCGTGCCACGGGCGAACGGCCTACCACAGCCTTAGAGTGATCATCAGCTTCGGCCATGCTTTGACTTCAAGGTTTTAAGTTGAAGGTTTTGTGCCAGCTTTTTTGCGTCTTGCCCTGTGTTTCCTACCTACACCAGAAGCTCCACCAGTTACCCTACCGCCCTCTTTCCAGGAGATGCAGCCAAAGCCAAGATCACTTTTGCACCTTGGCACATGGACCACAAGTTGCTTCTCAAATGATTGCATCCACAGTCGTGTCGATGTCGGTCGCATTCCTGTCGCCCAGAATTCCTGGATATCGATCTAGCAACCTCCTGCGAGTGAAGTTTGTTTGGGCCTCAGCTTCGTCCATTGGGCGTATAAACTGCGCGAAGACGGATGGAAGGATGGAAGGATGTTCTATACTACAGACTGTATGGAAGCATGCAGGTCGGATTGTTGAAGATCATGAAGATTGAATTATGCAACCAATAGGAGAAAACAAAAGGTTTGCAGTTTGTGGCAGTTTGTCACACTGATGCCGCTTAGACAGCGAGTGCTGTTTGTATGCATCGTTTTGTTCCGCATGTTGTAGTGTTGGCTTACATGTTGCGCATGCTTGACTCAGTGCAATGGGCGTGATACATATACAATCCCGGTTGGAATTTCCTCTATGGAATCAGATCACCTGGGTACTGAAAATGATCATTTTATAATAACAATTTCTCTCTATACAACGGAGTCTCTTAGGGGTCCTGATTCTAAGACAAACAGCGTTTTAGCTAGTTTTGTCCGTGAGTTTGATGTACTAGAGCTGGGATGTCAGATTATATAGTGGTATATTGATTTCATGTAACTGTCCGTGAGCTTCTGCATGGTCACATGGGGGTTGTGATTTTATAAGCTCCTTGATGCTCGATGCGGTGGATTTTGAAGACACAGTGAAATAGATATCTGCCCAATATATCCCAATATCCTGGAATTACCTGGATGATCTATGGATGGGTGCAGACAAGGCAAATAACAAACAGGTCTCAAAATCAAGTGCATGGTACAAATAATAACTTTTGGTTTCGACTTGAGATATGTTGAGACAAGCGTTCACTGACCTGACGCAAGTGTGGCGTGGCTTCATATCACACACCAACACCGTGCCAATAGCAGTGAAAGATGAGCTTCACTTCTTTTGCGTCTAACTTGCATGTTGTCGGATTTCCACCCGAAGGATCGGAAACGCCAATCGAAAAACGCTCTGGCCACTATAGAATCACAGGATTTTTTTTTGGTTATCTTGATGTTATTTTTTGGTCGAAGATGGGAGGTGTGATTCTTTAGCGAGCGGACCTTTTCCGACCACTGTCCGTGAGGTTGCCTTTCCGACTAAGGGGTTAGATTTTATAATGATGTCAGTTGATTCAGGCCTCAGATTCTATAAGGACCTAGGTGTCCCGAAGCTGGGGGGCGCTGCTTTATACTATAGAACCGGGCCACCCAGCACCGGAGGTGAATTTCAAAGGGGATCATATACATATATATATAAATCAGAGGCTTTTGTGAGCGTTGACCAACCTTTCTTTTGGATTTACAGCTGCTGAAGCTCCTTATTAGCATTCGCACCGAGTGTGCTTGAAAATCTTTGACACGAACTGGTGAACCGGTGAACACCCGAAAATGCTTTTAGGTTGGAGGCCACCGCTAGTAGGTTGGAGACCATTTGCTTTTTTCACTCGGCCTAGTCTCTAAGGTCCCAGAGCTGGTGCAAAGAACGGTGAAGGCGACCGCTCTGCGGGTTTATAGTTTTGCTGTGCAAAGCTGTGCAAGTAAGGGGCAAGGACGTGGAATCCGCAATGTAAGTTTTTAAGCATATATATATAATGTATTTGGTATGATTATGTAAATAGATGTAATATGATTTTTTTGAGGATGCTTGATGTGACAAATTCCATGAAAGCACACACAGGTTAATTACTCAGCAGTCCTGGCTGTGAAGGTCGCGGACTGTCCAGAGGAACGTGCGAAATGGAGGGACTATAATTTGGTCTCATGCAACGACCTCAAAGGATTGAAAACGGCTCTTAGGTTGGAGGCCATCGCTATTAGGCTGGAGGCCGTTGCTATTGGGTTGGATGTGCCCAAGTGCGGTTCCTTAAAGATATATATGTTTCTCATGGAATCTGGCAGACCGTCCAGTCCTCAGGTGGGAAGTGCTCCACCTGGACAAAGGAAATGCAGACCTTTGTGGTCCGAGACGAGCACGGCCACTGGACGGATTTGGACGATTTTGGACGTGCACAAGAAGCTACTAGGAGCAAAGGGCATCACTACTAGGAGCAAGGACGCTACTAGGGGCTCCTGGCATCGCTACTAGGAGCATTCTTGCCACTAGTAACAAGACGCACGGCGACTGGACGGATTTGGACGGCAGGTGTTCTTGACATTTCGGGCGGTCGAAGGACCATCGCCGCTCGGTGGATTGTTTGATCTGGCGAGGTGATCGAGACCTCTTTTGCTCCAAGTGCCACTCAGCTGATGTCGAGGTTTCGTTTGAGGGACGATGGAAATAGTGGGTGTCAGCAGCTGTCAGCACAGTGATGGTGTATTGAATCACTCTCTTCAGCAGAATCTATTGAATCTATTGCAGACAAGTGACGTTCGCTGTTGGGTAGGCGATGCTGTGCCTCACATAGGTGAGAATGATTCTTTCGGACTCTGCGCTGAGGTGCGTCCGTTTGGTCCGACATTGTCTCCGAAAGGCCTGGGCGAGGCCTGGATGTCCTACACAGCAATTTCTAGTTCCTCCGCGTTCTTGATCTCTTCTGTTCTTTCCCTTTTTAGTCCGCCCTTACTTAATAGTACTTAATTAAGTAGGTAGGTGCCTACTTAATCAAGTAAGGGCCAAGTGTAAGCTACTATCTACTTAACGCAGGATAGCTCACGCTATTCATTTGGTTCCTGACTTTTAGGACAAATAACATAGCGTAGAATAGAGCGTGCAGAGAGATTCTTTTGTTCTGTCCGCTCCAGCCTAGCGATTTCTGGGTCTAGTATCAAGGGCCATACTTATGCAGGTGGCGTTGGCAACCTGAAGTTAAACTTCAAGAGGCGGATGCAGCAGGCGGATGGAGCCAGCCTAAACACTTGGGTGTCCCGCGTTTGTGACTCATTTTGTTCAAAACTGGGGGCAGCCACACAAGTTGCAGTCAAGTCTGGGAATCACAATTGATTGTAAAATGCTGCTTCTGTCTATAGTCCAAAAGAAAGGAAGGAAGCAAGCAAGGAAGGAAGGAAGCAAAACAGAATGGAAAGGAAGAACCGAAAGAACACCATGTTGATTGTTTAAGGGGTCAACGGTCAGCCAGATTTTACAGCACACTGCATACATTCTACGTTCACGTTTCAGGGACGTGACTAGATTGGGTTTGAAAAGAAGATCCATGAGATGCAGGACCCCACGCCCTTCAAGTTCAGTCTAGTGATGTCGTTGAATGTTTTGTCATGTTTTGTCCGATACGGGCGCGTTGTTGAAAAAATATCTTTGTCCAAGTGGGTCGAAATCTTGTTCAAGTACTATGTGCTGTGTATATCTCTGACGTTCGGTCGCACGGGCGCAGCGCAAGCGGCGCCGCGTGCAGCGTGTCCGGCCGCAAGGCGGCTCAAGTCGGCTCCAGCTGCATTGCACAGGCTCAAAGAGGGGTGTGAGGCATCCACCCACCCGCCTTCCACTGTACACCACAGGCATGGGCCCGAGGTCCCGGCAAAGTAGGCAAGTCACATGTCAGACATGCCCAAAGCTCATTAACAAGCCAGCGGCTGGCACTACCTTGATTGATAATGCCAATCTCGGCTGAGGTAAAAGGATGTAGATTCTAGTGTCAGAATCAACAAAGCGAGAAAGTGGTTGCTGTACATAAAGCTTTCCCATGCTGGGCAAAAACACGGTCAGTGCAACCCTACAACCCAGACATTGTCGCGTACGAATGTGCACTGTAGGGCCACGAGGTGTGAGCAACCGGACCTCGCTGTTTGGCGCCCCCCAGGACAATGCTCACAGGTTTTGAGCCGGCTCCTGCCACTAGTTGCGGGCCCTGTTTTTCAAAACATATTGAAGATCGAACAGCTGGAGACATGGCAAGCATATAGTCCACCACTTCCCTGCTGTAGTGTGGACACAACTCCTATAGCAAACATGTAAGTCACCAACCTGTTGATGCCCTCATGAAGTGAAGCGCTGCCAGCTTGCAAACATGAAGATCACCAACCCTTGCGCAGTGATACATAGTGAACTGAAGCACTGCAGCTTCCAAACAAGTAGGTCGCCAACCCTTTTGCGTGATGCCGTAGTGAACTGAAGCACTGCAGCTTGCAAACATGTAGGTCGCCAACCGTTTTGCGTGATGCCGTAGTGAACTGAAGCACTGCAGCTTGCAAACATGTAGGTTGCC